TACCTCTCTGATTACACAAATCTTTGCTGGACTTCCCACCACGTGTATCTGACAAGTACTACCTGAGTACATTTAAGTATGCTGACTGAGTACTTTTACCAAGTACTTTTACCGAGTACTGAGTACCGAGAACTGACGAGGTATCGCGACAATACAAGTATTGTTGCTGGGTGTGCCTTCAATAGCGCTGTAAGGCCTTTTCAATATATTTATATCACAATTTCCACATAATTATCTTTAAGCGGTTTGCCTAGCGAGTGGCCACTGTATACAAATTGTACGCCAGCGTATATATATCAACGCCATAGATTCTATTGCGAACATATGTGACAACAAAGCACGCCAAATATTTTCAATGGCTATAGCTTTTTATATTTTTTTGTTGGTATGTTTCTTATGTATATTTGAATTTCTATTAATTTTATGTTCCACCTAACAAAACAGAAATAACAAAATTCTTTACGTTTTCCGTTAATTTCGCTTAATGGATTCACTGAAAATCTATCAAAATGGCCAACGTAGATCGCCTGGCAATGGCCAAGTGAACAATTTATTGTTCCATTTATTCCATTTACTATTGGGTTGCGTGTGCTGGCTATTCTCAATTTTGGAAAAGATTTCAAGTTTATGCATATAAATTTTAACTTGTGCAATAATTGGCATGAGATATACATTGTACAAATATAAACAGATTCACATACACACTACGTACTACAAGTATACATATGTAGGGGTCCTCATAATTTAATGTGGCATATGCCGAAGGTTGTAAACTTGAATATGTACGTTTAAATTTTGGGTCAATGTGTGTGATGCGGAGAGAGCTAAAGAATCTTTTGGGTGGATTGCTGGAACTAAATTCAAGAGATGCAAAGTGATATTAAAGGGATTAAATGGAATTAAGCTGGATCTTAGATATCATTTCTGCAAATAAAATCTAATCGTGATGGAAGAAAAATACACAGTCATAAGGAAACTTTGATGAAAAGGGTGAGCAAAGTAAAATGGAATGATTCGTTTTGTGGAGCCAAAAAATTAATTGCTTGCAACAGATTCATACCTCCAGTCATTTCCATATCGATTCAAATTTCACAAATATTTGTTTGTTTTTTAGTCGGATAGAGAATGAAAATAGTTATAACGATTTTTCAAAAAAGACTTTTATAGGAAATCGTTGTAGTACGATACGAGCAATTCGATCGTAAGTTGAATCTTAATCTGTGATTCAATAAAGAAGATGACTGTGTTTCATTACTGATCGCAATTGTCTTCCAAAACAAATTCATATCTAATCTTCATAATATCTAATTATACAAACAATATCTAGATATTCTACTTCTATAAACATGATATTTTCCGAATTTCGAATTGAGATATATTAAGGAGCTTTTGGGACTATTTTTTTATCATCCCAGCATTGTGCAACTAATTCTTGTGAAAGTTCCATCTGTGTCAATCTTCCTAGAGTGACGTGCACACAGGAAACAAATATTTCGTTTATAAATCGATATTAAACAGTAACAAAAGTATATTCAGACTTCAAATTATTAGCCACGACAAAATAATCTTACTTTAAGTACGTTTTTTTAGGCCTGAATATTCTAGATTTTGATTTAATGTAAACCTGTTTATTTAATATAAAATTGACAAGATTCCTTTTAATTGTATTGTGTATGTATATCTTCACAACTTGTACCTTCCCTTGTGTAAAAAAATTACTTGAAAAATGTAAAATAATTATAAATTGCAAAACGATTGAAGTTAGTGCATATTAAAAGAAGATCTGGGCGTGAAACTGCATGATTCTCTCACAGTTTTTGCCACTCTCAAGATCCATATATACATATATTCAACTTACCGGTTTTGCAAATCAAAATTTTGACATTTCTATGAGCATTTTGAATAACGTTGATTGATGTTGATTTAAGCAAATTAAATTTCAATTAAGATTCAAAGCCAGCTTTTGCACATTCGGCGTAAATTTCCGAATGCTATTCATCTATTTACTGGTATGCACTATCATGTAAAGCTGCTGCATGGCATTTGCGTCTTGCACTGTCTTTTTTAGATTTGTAGAGATGGAAAGAGATACCTGCAGAATACACCATAGTTTAAGTTCCTGAATAGAAATATTTGCGAGTCCATTTTGTTGTAAGAGAGCTGCAGTATGGTTTTCTTTGTAACATATACAACATAAAAGTTATTGGAAAAAAAATGAAAATTACAATTAAAAAATTACTCATGCTAGCGTTTTAAATAAAAAATGTCAGATGATCGCAAATAAGAAAAACAACAATCTCTGCGAATCCTGATGGTAGGTGAGATTTTGGAATTATCTTAAAGTCCTTTGTCAAATGACGATAGTTTCGAAAATTTAACAACTCTCAATTTGCAGACACTCGATTGGCTTACATTCTCCTTGCTTGGCGATTTCCCCAAGTTCAACGAATACTAGTATCGTATGCAAGACGCGATAAATCACTCATTAAAATTATTCTATTCCCAATTATGGAACTATTTATAAATCAATTTGTTGATTCCTTATGCTATCTGTACCTGTTTCCTACTTGTTAAATACAATAATCTGCTGCATCATTTCCGGTTCAGTATTGAACAAAAATCGAATTTCATGCCAAAAAGTTGAGAAGCATAGTCCGCCTCTACGGCGACCCTACCCCTCATCCATCGTATTCTTATTTCAAGCGGATCCAATTGACGTTTTCCAAATTTCTCGCAATTTCGTGCAATTTGTATTTTTTCTTTTTAACTTTTTCGGCCATTTTCATTTTTATCGCGCTGTTTTTATCTCTTTTCAAAATAAATTAAATTCAATGGAAGAATATTCGCGCAAATTGCGCCGCAAGCTCGCAAAATGGTGTGCGAAAATCCCAGGCGCCGATTTTCATGCGCCTTCAATTGGTTCAACAATCCAATGCAACAGGGAACAATATACTATACATACATATGTACGAGTACATATACTTATATACATATATACTTTGATGTGTGCGAGTGTGTGCGTCTACTTATAACACGCGTTGCCTTTTCGCCTCATTTATGGTGACGTCAATAAATTTCCTCTCGAATGGCCATAGACAGCCACTACTTGCCAATAAGAGGGCCACAACAATAAATAGAACTTTTCGCATATATTTAGTTCGCCTTTTGTTGATTCCTATTTTTTTTTCTTGTTTCTTGCTGGCATCGTTATATGTTTGGAATAAGTTGGCATTTTTTGTTGCCATTTACTGCTGCCTATAATTGGTGTGTTTACGTGTTGCGCGCCCTGAACTTGAAATTGTTTGATCTGCGGCAAACGAAGTTGCCGCACGGCACGATGTTGCCAGCCTCTCTGCTGCTGGGCTTGCCGCGAGCGTCGCGTCGTTGCACTTTCGTTGGGGATTATGATGTTGCATACGGGGCGTGATTAGTTTATTTTTGGCTCACCGATGTGCAATTTGAACTTTGTGGCATATAGATGTGTGCGTGGAAGTTTGCGTGTGTGCGTGTGGCGCTGACTCAGTTGCAAGTGCGAGCTGCGAGCTAAGATGTGTTGACACTGCAAAAAACAGATGACCCCTTTAGCTGCTATGTTTACTAAATGAGCGAAAGAAGCACAACAACAAAAATGTTGAAACTATTCGGAATGAGAAAGACTGAAACATCAAAGGTATACTATGCCTTCAAAGTAATATTGGAAACAAATATTGGCCTTCACATTGTCTTTAAACGAAATGGCGTGTATGTGTCAGGTTCAGCTTTTAGTTTTTCCAATACTTTAGATAATCTGCTGCATATATAACAAATACTTATGTAAAAGGTGGTATAATATAAATACTTTTATTATATTTAAATAAATAAAACAAACATAGCATAAAAGGCGAGTACATATTATTATCTGTGTGAATAATTAATGCGAGTTATAGAGCTCTGGTCTTGCCAGGTTAATAAATTTTCTAACTGCGTCAAATGTGTGAAAATATTGATAATTTTTTAAGAAGCGTGCTAATAAAAGTTTTAAAAATTGAGAGATACATTTAATTTAATTTAATTCAATTTAATTTTTGCTGTAAATGCTACTCACATCTCAGCCTATTTGCCTATTGCTCGGGAAAATGCCAAAAATGTTTAAACAATTTCTATAAAAATTACACAGAAATTAAAATCTAACAGTGTTTTGTGAAGCAGATATTTTAGAATATATATAAATAATTATAATTAAATAGTTATTAATTAGCCATTCGTTTCCTCATGACAATTACATATTAAATTGGGAACCTGTCATAGATATAGTAAATAAGAAGGTTTCTTAACTATATCAATTATTATTATTCAGAATTCAATCTAACTTCTTAGACCTCTGTGTCTAACCTAACTAATCATTAAGGATAAGGCATCAACTAGATGAGGATCTGAAGCTACCAGTCATTTGTTATAAATTGTAACTATTTATAAAGTACAATAACAAATGTGGTTCTAAGCTAGTCCCTACTACAATTTTTCATTTATTGCTATTTAAGGTAGATTTTATCCAGACAGCAGAAATGTTCTCGAAAAGGCGACATCTAGATATATGACATATAAGTAACATCCTATGCTCATGCTGTGCAACTATTATCTATGCCGTTAATTAACCCATTAATCACACTAATTCGAAAGACGGACCGACATACCAATAGACCACAACTTGGGACTTGGGAATTCAAAGACCTGCCTAGCTGCTTACCCCAACTCATTGGCTTTGTTGCTCAAGCCATACGATTATTAAGCTTTCTACGCCGCAATTAATATTCATAAGCGATTTGTTTATCATGCCACACCACAGACAAACACGGCCGCAGCTGATGAGACGATTGACTAACTGGCCAAATGACTAAATGACAACGTGACGCATAACGAGCTTCGAGCTGAAATCGTTTAATTTGCAGCTTACCCATAAATATCGAAAGGGAGATATACATATATGTATGTATGTATAGTATATGTATGACAATTAAATTTAATTATGTGCCATGTGTATGTCTCTTCATGTTTTTTTTTTGTTTTTTTGTTTTTGTTTTTCGTGCAGTGTATGCGTGTGGCGTCTATAGTTGTTGTTGCTGCTACAGCTATGTACTCGTATGTGTTCATATTTGTCCAGCGTTGTCATCGTCGAGTGGAGTGAACATTTGAAGCCATCATCGCAGTCAACAGTCGCAGTTCAACTGCCTACGAAGTCAATAGCGCAGGCGAGCAGTACTGAGCAGCGTGTAAGCACACTTAGCAATTAGAATTAATTAGTCGAACAAATGGCAAACACCAACTACTTAGTACACATCATATACACACCAAAAGGCAACAATATGCAATAAGTTTGAATAAATTTTTATTCTTATCTTAATGTAAATCCATTTCTCAACAGGTTGAAGCCAGACACGGCGGCAACAACAAATAAACTGAAGAAAACCCACACAAAATAAACGAACAGCAGCACGATTTGTTTATAGGAAAATTTTAAATTAAATAAAACAAAGAAAACAACATACTTAGTACTATAAAACAAAATAAAAACGAACTAAAAACGAAGAGCAAGAGAACGGCAGATGGATGCACGAGTAAGGCGCTCGCCTTTGGGACAGACATGCAATTAGAGGAAATTTATAATTAAACACACACACACTCACACACACATTCACACACACTTCTGCATAGACAACAAATTGACAAAAATGTTTAATTTGCTGCGACGCACGCGTCAGAGAAAAACGCATAAAAGCAAAAACTACGATGTGAGCGATGAGGAGGAGACGGCCAGCCATGGTAATCCGACAAGGAGCACGATGAGCGGCAGTAATGAGCGATATCGTTCATTCAGCGAATTGCAGAGCAGACCCACAGAGTCGTTGAGCATGAAGAGAGCCACAGACCCAACAATATCTTCAGCTCCCTCAGTGCCATCAGTGCCATCAGCGCCCTCAGCGCCCCCGGCACTCTTGCCGCACCGTCGTGCTGTCATCGAAGAGTTGGAGGATTTTGCCAGCGAAGATGACGATGATGTGGTTGTGGTTGTGGCTAATGGGGCTGCCGGAGAGTGTGGTGCTGGTGTAAAATTAGCAAAAACAGCTGCTACTGTGAGTAGTGGAAGCAGCAGCAGTGGCAGTGGCAGCAATTCAGCAGCCATTTTGAGCTCTTGGCGCTCTACTCGTGGCAGCACTAGCTCTAGCTCTAGCTCTGGCTGTGCTAGCAAATTGAATATAAATAACATTAGCAAAGGCAATGGGGCGACGGCGAGGACAACGACTGTTGTTGGTTGTGGTTGTGATGAAGATCGAAATGTTGCGACCAGTTCAAACGAGGCAGCCAAAACGAATGGCGACGTTGGCCAGCCATTAATTGGCATAGATCTAAACGACTACTATAACGACCACAATATTGAGCCGATCGATGGCTGTGCGCAGCCAATTTCTGGCACGGTAATTGACGACGACAAGACCAAGAGCACAAGCAAAAGTAAAAGCTCACTCAACACGCAACACTCATCGCTAACGAACAAATCAAATACAAATACAAATTCGAATCCGAGTTCGAGTCCAAATCAAAATCAAATCGCGCAACAGAAGAAACAATCGCGTCTATCCTTAACCAATTTTGGTCTACAGCTGGTGCACAGTGCTGTCAAAAGTGAAGCCGTGAACTCGAATTGTGAAAGTGAAGTGCCAGTGCCAATTACAGAGGCAGAGCCAGTGGCAGTGCCAGTGGCAGAGGCCGTGCCGAAAGTGAAGCGCAAAACGTTGCAAAAGAGTCGCGATTTTCTTAGTGAAATTTTCATGGCGCGTGGACGTAATCACCAACATCGTCAGCAGCATCGCAGTCAGCAGCAGCAGCAGCAACATCAAGCAAAGGTTAAAACCGCCGTCGACGTAATCGGCCAGGCGCTGGCCGCTGTGCCCGCTACGCTAGCGGCGGCACCAACACACCTTGAAACGAACTCCGACCCCGCAAACGATTCTACGAATAGTTATCAAATGACTATGTCTAATAATAGCCAAAAGAATTTTCACAGAGCGCTAAAGAGCGAAGAGCGGGAAAGCCCATGGGAGCGCCAGCGACGCAGTAATTCAGCAGACTGTGAGATACGCACTGGAGCAACAGCTGCCACAGCCACATCAACAGGCAGCGCCAAGAGCGGTAGCGAGGTGCGCGCCCACAGCGTTGGACCAAGAGACTTTATTCAAGCGGCAAACGTCGAGCGGCACGCTGTGGTTGCAAATGCGGAAGATCGCAGCCGTGCACCATCTGAGCAGGCGAATGCACTACAACGCAACGCCGCTCAAACCAACATCAACAACAACAGCAACAACAACAGCAACAGCAACAGAAAAAAAATCAATATTAACAACAGCTATCAAGAGCAAGAAGAACATCAGAATATCAGAAAACAGTTCAGTGACATAATCATGGGCCAAACAAGCGCCAAACCCAACGAGCAAACAACGGGCTCCACAACGTCTTCACGTGCCAGCACGCCGCGTGAGTTTCGTGAGTCCATAGTCACGCCAGAGCCGCCAGTGGCGCCACCACGTACGCACCACCATCAACAGCAACAGAATGATAGGCAATTGCCCAAGATAACGGTGGTCGACTGCAGTTTTGATAGCGAGAGCAGCGAGGGCCAGAGTCCCACAGAGACGGCCGAGGAGGTGTACTACGATTTCGAACAGAGCCACAACAACAACAACAACAAGCACAGCAGCAGTGGCGTGCACATCACATCAGTGGATGAAGGGGAAGACGAAGCAGAAGCGTGTGGAGATGCAGCCGCCGAGTCTCTGGAGGACGAAGTTTTCGAAACAGATATCCCCACGACCGTGTATCAAAATGGAGGACGTCCTTGGACGCGACTGCGTCACGTCAAATTGGAGAATGTTCAGGAGGAAGCAGAGGAAGAGGACGATGTAGACGAGGCCTTGGAACTAGATAGCGATGAACTTGAACATGCCCCCACAGCAATGCCACACAAATCGAGTCGCGAGCGCCAATCGGCAAGTAGCGAGCGCAGTGCCCTGAAAAGTGATTCCAATCTGAGCAGCAGCTATGCGGACTCGGGCATAGGCATAGGCATAGGTAGCATGGTCAGTCTAGGGAGTGCGACACAGCAAGAGACGCCGGTACGGAATTGCGCGACGGCAACCCTGCGCACGCCATTCGTGCGCGATGGCAACTCTACCGACTGCGAGGAGACGCTGCTGCAGTGCGACGAACTCGATGATGAGCAACAACATCATCATCATCATCATCAGCAGCAGCAGCAGCAGCACCAGTACGGGCAATTTAATGAACGCCTGGTGTGCATCGAGAGCATTAGCCTGCCCGATGTCGTTGTGGAGTCAACGACCGCGAATAGCGCTGCGCCATCAACGACATCAGCAGCAACAACAACAGCAAACACGGGCGCAAATGCGAACGGCATTTCCGACGACACACAGATCAATATCAATATTAACGGCGCCAGCGGCAACAGCCTCGGCAATGTGCATTTTATACCCATACACGTCGAGGGGGGTGCTGGGGGCAGGGGTAGTGCCTCACGCAGTCGCAGCAGCAGTCCCAACAAGCAGCGCAGTCTGGACGACACCTTCATTGGCAAACAATACAGCATGCCGCCTACCATCGAGATCATCGAGGATGGCTGCATTCTGAATGCACCAGCGCCCCAATCGTCGATGCAGGATTGCAATGGCAACAACAACAACAACAACAACTATGAAGTGGATATTCTCAAGTAACGTATACGCCATGTATTACCAATCAGCTTAAAGCAATTCAATTGCCGCTCACCATAATGCCAGTCAGCTATAATTCTAGAATGCACTTGATGATCTAATCGCTGCTATATACTTGTAGTTTGTTTATCGTTGTGATTCAACGAACGTCCAGCCTTTTGTTTATCCACTCTTTATATATACGAGTATGTATGTGCATATATATTGAAGCTTGCCAAAGCGGCGCATGAGTAATGTACTAACTTATTTATGTATTATACCCAATGACTATTCCTTTGTGGACACAGTATAAAACACACACGCTATACACTACAACAATCCAATTTACAAAAAGCGGCCCTTTACCATTAGAAACTACAAGTATTTAAAATGGCATCAATAGCCATTTCGATTTTCACAAAAATGTCCCAAAGAAATGTGGAATATTCACAGAATATTATCAAATGTATTGTTTACTTTTGGACATTATATTTGTGTGATGAACGTGATATTTTTCTCAAAAAAGTTTAAGCAAAATATATAAAAATCTTTGATTTATTTTTTGTTGGAAGATCATCGTGTCATATTTACTAAAAATTCTGAAGAAGTTGCTGTTAGATTCTTGATAGAGACAAAAAATGTTAGTCGTGCAAAAGTCTTTGATAATTACCTCATGAAAGACCAGTCTTTATTTTCTTATATATATATATATATATATATATATATATATATATATATATATATATATATATATATATATATATATATATATATATATATATATATATATATATATATTATGTGTATAATAATTTGTTGAATTGTTTTGTTTTGATTCACGGCTTATATTGAAACCATTATCGGCAGGATGTTTATATATACTTTTCTTTAATTAAAATTTCATTTTTATGATTTCCAAATTCTTAAACTACAAAACTAATCAAATTTGGAAACCAAGGGGATGTGTTTTTGCACATTTGTGTTAAAGTGCTAATAATGTTGTTATCTAACCATAAATTGCTTGTTTTTGTCTTAAAATACAATTTGGATGTCCAATGAGAAGAAAAAAGTTTATTGCCCATAAATCATGTTTTAGGATATATTATTATACCCTGTACCCGTAGGGTAAAAAGGGTATATTAGGTTTGTGCAAAGTATGTAACATACAGAAGGAAGCATCTCCGACCCCATAAAGTATATATATTCTTGATCAGCATGACGAGAGAAATCGATCTAGACATGTCCGTCCGTCTGTCCGTCCGTCTGTCCGTCTGGATGAACGCGAGGATCTCAGAAACTATAAAAGCTAGAATAACCAAAGTTGGCATCCAGATTCTCCTAGGTCTGAGTAAGGACGAGTTTATTTTTTTTTTTTTAATTTTCCCCCCCTTCCCCCGCTACAGAATTTCGTCAATAGCGTCCACATTTCAAATGCTACCTAAACCAAACTTTGCACACATAATTTATATATAATTGTCTACTGTTGTTCAAAATTCAATTCGGTCAATTCTAAGAAAAGTTATTAGCAAAACAAATTCTCGCCAGTACAACCCCCCCAAACTGCAGCAACAAGTTCGCTCTTCTTCTTCCTCTTTTTGCTGCTGCTATGGGCGCATATAACTCAGTGACGCAAGTTTACCTGGGTACAGGGTATTACACTGTCGGGCTTGCTCGACTGTAGCGTTCTCTCTTGTTTTTGAGCTAAGAAGTAGCCACTTAATTATCAAAAAAATAGGCAGTTATTTTAGCATATCGATCTTCTGCAGAAATATAAAATGTACAGAAATATTTATCTAAAATGTTTCGATATACCATATATCCACAATCAACTGAGACCATACCCAATAAGTTAGTCCAAAAATGGTCGCTTTTTGGAGAACTTATCTCTCTTACTTTCTCACTATCATAAGAACCCCTGCATTTTAAAATAGAGCAAATTTTTATCTCACATAAGTCGTTATTAGTTATTAGATAAAACAAATTCAAAGCAGTGTATCAAAAACTCTATTAAAGCAAGTTGAATTCTTTCCTAATTATACATTAGAAATATGCAATATTTATCTCACAAAAGTCGTTATTAGTTGTTAGATAAAACAAATTCAAAGCAGTGTATCCAAAACTCTATTAAAGCAAGTTGAATTCTTTCCTAATTATACATTAGAAATATGCAATATTTATAGGTATACTAAATAGCAGCCATTTCTTTCTCCCTGTTATGCGAATTTCTATATGCTTCCTTCCACTTAGTTATAATATAGATCCACATTCAATTGTTTTTAAACTGAAACCATAACCAATGCATTAGCCCAAGAATGGTAGCTTTTTTGAGAACTTATCTCTCTAACTGTTTTCTGTATTTTAAATTTCTGTATTTCTGTATTTTAAATAGAGCGGGCTTTCATCTCACAAAAGTCGTTCTTAGTTATTCGACAAAACAAATTCAAAGCAGTGTATTCAAAAGTCCAGTAGTCTAGTAGCATGCTTTCCTAATGTATATGCATATACTCGTATTTATAGGTATACTATATAGCAGCCATTCGACTCGTGTCAACTGCGTAGCGCTAATTTATCAGTCGCGAGCAATTCTTCTTGTCAATGCTTGCAGCTCCTGCACTTCCCTTTGATTATTGTTGCCATTCATCTTGGCATGGAGAACGCCTTCGATTCCAGTCAATATTTTCTCTTTGTTCGGCTGCATGTGTGGCATTTTTACAGCTTTCCCATCTGTTTTCCAAGTGTCTGCTTTGAATTTTCTATTGTTCTTTTTTTTTTGTTTTAAAGAGTTTGGCATATTAAATGAATTTGTTTTAAATTCAATTTCATACACCATGGGAGAACAGTTGTTTGATGCAAACCATACCACCCATTGTTTGGCCTTCAAAAAAATGACAGATTGTGACAGTCGGGCGACAAGTGTCGCAGCGTAGACCAACACTTGGCAGCTCACTAATTATTCATAAATATCTATTTATTATTGTTATATGTTATATGTTATATTTACTAAAAATTCTGAAGAAGTTGCTGTTAGATTCTTGATAGAGACAAAAAATGTTAGTCGTGCAAAAGTCTTTGATAATTACCTCATGAAAGACCAGTCTTTATTTTCTTATATATATATATATATATATATATATATATATATATATATATATATATATATATATATATATATATATATATATATATATATATATATATATATATATATATATTATGTGTATAATAATTTGTTGAATTGTTTTGTTTTGATTCACGGCTTATATTGAAACCATTATCGGCAGGATGTTTATATATACTTTTCTTTAATTAAAATTTCATTTTTATGATTTCCAAATTCTTAAACTACAAAACTAATCAAATTTGGAAACCAAGGGGATGTGTTTTTGCACATTTGTGTTAAAGTGCTAATAATGTTGTTATCTAACCATAAATTGCTTGTTTTTGTCTTAAAATACAATTTGGATGTCCAATGAGAAGAAAAAAGTTTATTGCCCATAAATCATGTTTTAGGATATATTATTATACCCTGTACCCGTAGGGTAAAAAGGGTATATTAGGTTTGTGCAAAGTATGTAACATACAGAAGGAAGCATCTCCGACCCCATAAAGTATATATATTCTTGATCAGCATGACGAGAGAAATCGATCTAGACATGTCCGTCCGTCTGTCCGTCCGTCTGTCCGTCTGGATGAACGCGAGGATCTCAGAAACTATAAAAGCTAGAATAACCAAAGTTGGCATCCAGATTCTCCTAGGTCTGAGTAAGGACGAGTTTATTTTTTTTTTTTTAATTTTCCCCCCCTTCCCCCGCTACAGAATTTCGTCAATAGCGTCCACATTTCAAATGCTACCTAAACCAAACTTTGCACACATAATTTATATATAATTGTCTACTGTTGTTCAAAATTCAATTCGGTCAATTCTAAGAAAAGTTATTAGCAAAACAAATTCTCGCCAGTACAACCCCCCCAAACTGCAGCAACAAGTTCGCTCTTCTTCTTCCTCTTTTTGCTGCTGCTATGGGCGCATATAACTCAGTGACGCAAGTTTACCTGGGTACAGGGTATTACACTGTCGGGCTTGCTCGACTGTAGCGTTCTCTCTTGTTTTTGAGCTAAGAAGTAGCCACTTAATTATCAAAAAAATAGGCAGTTATTTTAGCATATCGATCTTCTGCAGAAATATAAAATGTACAGAAATATTTATCTAAAATGTTTCGATATACCATATATCCACAATCAACTGAGACCATACCCAATAAGTTAGTCCAAAAATGGTCGCTTTTTGGAGAACTTATCTCTCTTACTTTCTCACTATCATAAGAACCCCTGCATTTTAAAATAGAGCAAATTTTTATCTCACATAAGTCGTTATTAGTTATTAGATAAAACAAATTCAAAGCAGTGTATCAAAAACTCTATTAAAGCAAGTTGAATTCTTTCCTAATTATACATTAGAAATATGCAATATTTATCTCACAAAAGTCGTTATTAGTTGTTAGATAAAACAAATTCAAAGCAGTGTATCCAAAACTCTATTAAAGCAAGTTGAATTCTTTCCTAATTATACATTAGAAATATGCAATATTTATAGGTATACTAAATAGCAGCCATTTCTTTCTCCCTGTTATGCGAATTTCTATATGCTTCCTTCCACTTAGTTATAATATAGATCCACATTCAATTGTTTTTAAACTGAAACCATAACCAATGCATTAGCCCAAGAATGGTAGCTTTTTTGAGAACTTATCTCTCTAACTGTTTTCTGTATTTTAAATTTCTGTATTTCTGTATTTTAAATAGAGCGGGCTTTCATCTCACAAAAGTCGTTCTTAGTTATTCGACAAAACAAATTCAAAGCAGTGTATTCAAAAGTCCAGTAGTCTAGTAGCATGCTTTCCTAATGTATATGCATATACTCGTATTTATAGGTATACTATATAGCAGCCATTCGACTCGTGTCAACTGCGTAGCGCTAATTTATCAGTCGCGAGCAATTCTTCTTGTCAATGCTTGCAGCTCCTGCACTTCCCTTTGATTATTGTTGCCATTCATCTTGGCATGGAGAACGCCTTCGATTCCAGTCAATATTTTCTCTTTGTTCGGCTGCATGTGTGGCATTTTTACAGCTTTCCCATCTGTTTTCCAAGTGTCTGCTTTGAATTTTCTATTGTTCTTTTTTTTTTGTTTTAAAGAGTTTGGCATATTAAATGAATTTGTTTTAAATTCAATTTCATACACCATGGGAGAACAGTTGTTTGATGCAAACCATACCACCCATTGTTTGGCCTTCAAAAAAATGACAGATTGTGACAGTCGGGCGACAAGTGTCGCAGCGTAGACCAACACTTGGCAGCTCACTAATTATTCATAAATATCTATTTATTATTGTTATTATTTAACACTTATTTATGCACATATTTAAATGCAATTGTCCGCCTCTAGACAAATTTAATAAATACAAGTATGTGGCCTGTGCTCATAAATCAGCTCAAAATAAATTCACTTCGTCATTTTTTTGGCACATTGGCCAAAGTGAACAAAAATATAAAAGATTAGTAGCAGAATAGAAGATATAGAAACACTGAGCAGAAATGGCAAACAGCGTCCAACATGTTCGCAATTCCCACGCTTGTTTTCAATAATATTTTGCCTTAATATTTGTGCAGCTACGTCAAAATTCGCTCTATACATATGTATATGTATCTATAGACATGAATACCCCTACAATATATATATATGCAGATTTGTATACTTGTATAGTACTATATCTGCCTAGAGCGCAATTGCATAGCATGTTGCCTGCTCCACTTTTCCGGTTTATTTTAGTTTTTATTATTTCTCTTTTTCATAAGCACATTTTTTTCTAAATAGCAAAAAGTAAGAGGAAAAGCACACAATTTTATGTTCAGCGCCAGCGCCACATTGAAAATGTGTAATTTAAATAATTGGAACGATATTTTAGACTGCTTGCACTTGTGGAATTTGTTTGCTTTAACTTTGTACTTGATTTTCTTAATTAATGCACAGCTGGTCCACTACATTCTGTGTGTCTGTATGTGTGTGTGTGCGTGTGTGTGTGTGAAGAAACAAGGGCGGATCAATAATTCAGTGAATATTTAGTGCATGTTTTGAACAATCAATGTGTATACGAGCCCTTTGTTTGGCAAGGGCTTGTCGAAATAAGTGTTTGTTTTAGACTCTGTGTGCAATTGAATACAAAATTTGAAAACAATAGTACATCCTAGTTACCAGATATGAATAGAAAAACGAGTATAGCTTCAATATTTCTAAGACTTGTCAGACACATTTCCAGTTTCAATTCATTTTTATTTAAAATTTATAAAGTACGAGTACATAATTGCTGGCTTCGAAAGTGAAAAGGAAAACAAGAAAGGAACAATTTTTATTTTATTTTAGACATTTCTTTGATCATAACTTTATGGTGCAAGTCAGATTTCTAAAGCTCTCTAAATAGTTTCCGATTTGGAAATGGGAGAAGGACAAACTGAGAAGCCTTTTCAAAATATTTTGGGAGAAATACAAATTCTAAGATACTTGTACATATTATATTGGCTGATATGGATCGAAAAAAGGCAAAAACCATTCGTCCTTTTAAATTGTCAACATCTTTTGCAAAAAGCGTCAATTTCTGAATTCGGAAAAAAAATATATACAAATTATAAAGAAACCTCTTCTACAACTTTCTACAAATAGTCGCTGTGAATAAAAATGCAATATTAAGCAGTCCATAGGTAGCATTAAGTAGTCTAAAACCGTATTAAGCATTTATTGACCGACCCATGCTTTCAATGTGGAAATTATGGTTTTTCTTTTGTAGGTCATTATTTAACTTTTTACCTTCTGAAAGATAAATTACAAATGTGAAATATCCACATAGTTTTAGCTTTGCTTTGTTTTTGTTGATACTACAATGTTTGTAATAATTCCTCTCGTATTCTACACTCAGCACTGACTATTTAGTCCGCCCTCGCTTAGGCATACTATTTACTTATAATAACTTAGCATTGAACTGCTGCTTACTTAGACTTAGTTGGGCATAAACATACATAAACAGTATGTTGTGCACGCGGCGTATGCGTAATATCTCCAACGCCCAGGTAACAACAATTTATGGCTTGCTGTTTAGCTACACAATTCAATTGAACAAAAACAATACTGCCAACAAACACAAAACAAAACAGCAAACGGAATTGCTGCCAAAAATTGTTGAAATATCTTGTAGATATGTATCTCATGTGAGAGTGTTTGAAACGCGTGAAACCGCGTGTCACAATTTGATAAATACGACAACGGTCATTGTTTATATGTACTATATATATATATATATATATATATATATTTTATATACTATATACCCACATACACACACCAATATATAGACTAGTCGACTGACTGCTTTCTGCAAAGATATATATATTTATAAATAGCAAGCCAGAGCGCATCTCTGCAACACTTTTCATCAAGAAAACGCGCCATCAAATAAAATGAAATGAAATTTAATGAAATAATCGTAAATGCAAATGCAAAGAATTTTATTTTGCGTTGAAGCAGAATAAAACAAATATTATATAAATATATATGAATGTGTATATAAAAGAAAAGTGCACCGACATCCGCGATATCAGGTGCATTTTGTCATTAATGCGTTTTACACCATAAAATCTTTTATATGTACATATGTGCTCAACAAAATAGAGCCTTGTTTGTTTCTTGGGTAAATGTATAATATAAGGTATATACTATATGATCAACATAATAAGAATCAACATCGTTTCATTTAATAATATTCTGTACTAACGTGGGTTTTCTGTTTTCAATACTCGAAGTTTCTTTGGGACGCGGCTTTCCAATCTCCTAGGTGCCTCATAAATCCATTCATATTTGAATATAATAATGGGTTGTGCAATATTAATAAAGAATTGTTTAATAATCAAAACAATCGAGTTTTCATGGGAACTTGGCTTTTCGATTTTCCAACTCCCTTATGTTTTGACGGAAATGCTAAATATTGAGGTCCTTGAGCATTGTCGTTGAGCATCATACCAAACAATCTAGATTATATCCTAACTTTGTCCAAATACGATCGAGAAATAATGTAATAATAATATTTAAAAGAGTATAGAGTATATTGTTTGTTCGACTGTATGAACGTATGAATCTTTGAAAGTATAAGAGCTAGAATATCCAAACTTCATAAAAGCCCAAAGCAAATCAATTTTGTCTTGTGTTTTCTGATGCTCTTCATCAATATTAATAAATAAACAATCACAAACAATTTTCCGGAATGTGTTGTAGTATTGGCTCGAAAGCTATTGGGTCATATAAAAATTGAAATATATACCGTAAATAGTATTGATCAGTAGTCATATACAAGTATACAAGTATTTCGTGTCATATTTTTCATGTTTGCAGAATTCGAAGCCATTCCATTTTCATATTCTTAGCACATGTGGGAAAGGGCAAGACTACACCTCCAAAATAGCAATGAATAAAGCATTTTTTAATACATATAATTAATAGGATTAAATAGATTATGAAATGGCAATTAACTCTTAGAAATATATTGGAAGGAAAACATGAATAATGTTTTGTTTATACAACTATTTCGCAGTAGATTCGATTGCATCGATTTTAAGCTGCAAACATACAGAAAAAGGTTAATTAAATATAAGTATATATATATATATGATTAACGTGATAATCACGCTCGGACCACTGTCACATCGCTAAACGTATAATCGTTACTAGTAATAAAATCTATGAATTCTGAAGAGCATTGCGACGCAATTCAAATCAAGTGTATAGATTTCTTTTGTACTTTCTTGTCGACTAGGTCTCCGTTTTTCCATTCAACACGCATCCAGACACATATGCTTATGTCGATATGTATCTGTTTATATATACATATAAGCCTTTTTATATACGTCTGCATTATTATTTATTTATTTTCGTTGTGTCTTAGCTAGAATCTAACATAATACTTGTGTATATGTCTCTACGTGCCTGCTGTTGCTTCAGCTTTTGCTGCCCGACATCGGCAACATGTACAATATCTATCTGAGTCATTCTGGTTTGCAGCGTCTAATGTTTTCAACTGATTGTCAGATATAGTAACATATTTTTGGCTGCGCCTTAAGCTGTTAAGACTTTTCAGCAGACCAAAACAATTTTATGAGTGTCATGCAGCGATACGTTGGTCCACATAGAGGGCGGGCGTCAAGCTGCCTACTCATCGCTATACTATATGCACTATATATCGGCCGACTATAAAACAAACACTAGTTTATATTAATGTCTATTGATGTGTTTTCGCAGGCAGGAGCTGAAACTACAAAAGGCACGCTACAACACCCAACTGGACGATGCGCACAAGAATTTACACAACTTGGAGGGCAAGGTGGGGGACATGCAGGCCAAGATACAGAAACTGGAGCAGGAACTTTCACTCAAGCAGTGGAATGTGGAGAGTAAGTAGCATTCCCATAAAAGTGGTAGAACTAGTGCATCTCTAAGGGCATGCTGTTATCTGTTTCAGGACTCCAGGGCGAACTCGATGCAGCGCACAAGGATGATGAATATGTGAGAAAAAAACTGAAATTGCTCGAGGATGAGAAAGTTAGTTTGCGTCACAAATATAGCGACAACGAGGATGAATTCAAGCAAAAATATGGTAAGCTCAAGGATACTATTTCATGCTACATATAAACTATTGGATTCACTATCACTCCATAGCCATTAAGTTAGATGTTGACGCTATCCTTAAATTAACAAAAATTAGCAAAATAGAATGTGCAGTAAGCAAAAAATGTTAGTCTTAAGCAAATTTGTGTTTGGAAGACATTTTAATTTTAATATTTTTAAGATTGGTAAGGGGAGTCTTTGTAATTAATAAACAATAATTGATAGTTAATGTACATTTGGCACAAATGGTTATTGCTGTCGGTTATCAAAGAAAATGACTAGAAACACAACTATAAGTATATAGAAAATGATTAGAAAATCCTTGAAAAATAACTAGAAACCTAGCTAGAAAATACGCTATAAAGTCCTTTGAAAAAGGCTAGAAAATTCACTATAAATTGTTAGAAACCCAGTTAAAAATAGGTAGAATATGTTGGAAGATACAGAATCGCAATAAATAGATAGAAAATCTGCTAGAAAATGCCTAGAAAATCGACAGAAAACCCGTTAGAAAATGGATACTCCACTATAAGTAGTTATAAAATCCTCTAAAATTGATAGAAAACCCGCCCTCGCCGATGCAGCTTTCAAGAGCATCAAAAAAAGCAGTTCTATTTCCATTCAAAAGTGGGACTTTTTAAAATCAAGACCTACCAGTTAGGCATAAATAAGAAGAAGACAAATAAACTGTTCCCGATTGCAAGATTATTTTCCCATTAGGATCGTGCGGTAATGTGGTTTGTGATATGAAAAATAGAAGGACACCAAGTTTGTTTATATTTTAGATTGTATAGTACCGATAGATTCGCAGCTTCTGATTTCTGATTTATTGCAATTTAAGATTTACAGTATTTAGGATAGACTTTGCTCTTCCAAATAGTGTCTATATATTTACAAAAATTGTCTGAGAGTTAATTAAGAATTCGTTGGAATGTAGAAAAATATAATTTCGATCGAGGTATTTGGAAGCTTTATGAGTCAGTTGCTTCTATCTGTGGTTCTAATCCGGCATTTTAATCTCCTAGACGAACTCGAGGCGCAGTACAACGAACTTAAGGAGCGGTACACGCAGACCCAGTGCCTGGCGAGCAGTCTCCAAACGCAATTGGCCAGCGCACAGGCAGCGGCGGAGGAGTGGAAGAACGAGTTGGGGAGGATACGGGCCGAGCTGGAGGAACAAATACGCATACTCAAGAATGCGCTCGAAAATTCCGAAGCCGAGCGCAAAATATGCGAGGATAAGTGGCAAAAGGAGTTCGAAATTCTACGCACACATAATCGAGGCAAGTGTTAAAGGAAAATAGAGTTGGGAAGTCTTAACCAAGATATGCCTGCACCTTTACAGAGCGCGAGGACACACTGATGACGGACTGTGAGTGGCAAATGAGGCAAATGCAGCGGCAGTGCAAGGATAAAATGGACAAATCCGCCTACGAACGGAAACAGGCAATGGCCAAGGCCGAGGAACTCGAACAGGAGCTGCAATCACGTCGAAAGGAGCTGGAACATTTGCGCGTCTTTCAGGCGCAGGTGAACTCTCTCCGGGGTGTGGTCAGCGAACAGGAACACTCCATACACACGCTCATGGAGCGCATCGACACTCTTCAGACGGATCTGGATACGGCCAACGAGAATTTGGAAGCGCAAATTGAAGCTGTGCACAAAATCAAATATCAATGTGATAAGTGGGTCCCACCCCTCCTGCATCTAAGTATGCATAATAATTAATTGGTACTCGTATCCTTGCAGTGCCATTTATGACAAGGAGCGTCAAATGATCTATCGCATCGATGAGGTGCGCAATGAAGCTGCCGCCTTTTGGGAAAATAAACTTTAGTAAGTAGTCAGCCTCAGTGGAAAATGGTCTGTGAAATGAAAAGTTTCCAATCCTGCACTACTCTCGACTTACAGCACAGAGATGACAAGACTGACAAATGAACTCGAATCCGTGTATGTGGACGAGCGACGCGAAGCTCTCGATAAATTGCAGACCGAGCATGTGGAAGAGTTGCGTGCGCTCACTAATCGATATACAGCCAACGAGGAAGAGATGCGCGCTGAGGTATGTCCACAAGACTCTTATATTGACATAGTTGTTTAAATAATGTACCATATAGGAGGCATTAGAGAGCAAATGAAATGTGTTATCGAAAATGGAAATGGAAATACTAGGGCAGTCTAAAGAGAATAAATTATCGTATAGTTACATTATTTTAAATAGTTCCGATGGATTCAAAAGGGTCCCTTCTAGCATAACCCTTTTTCTACGGTGGTTTCTAATACAAATGTAAGACTATTTATGAGTTTTTGTGATTTTTCTCAACATCAGTTCAATACTCGTAAAACATATAGCTGTTAAAAGGACAGTTGCTACAATAAGTTAATTTTAGTTGATGGACTGATACGTAGGGTATTTGAATTGGTGAAACAATAGTCTGTCCTTAACGTGCTAGGCGTTATTTGATTTGAGATTGCCTTCTCCATTAAAACTCACATTTAAATGTAACTGAATACAATGTTACATAGAAACCCAGATGAGATTAGATTAGGCGCTATGTCTTAGCCTTTTATGGTATATTTAATGTGATTTCTGATACAACAAGCAATTCTTTTAAACCGAAAGAGTCGTCTTCATTGTGTACAATAGATAGCTTTTGGCAACCAGTCTTTAATGACATAGGGTTCTTCCAGCATTAGACCCCTTGCTTTTTGTTAAATATTGCCAAGAACTGACCCCTAATCTGTTATTTGATCACTCTGATTGAAAAACAGTTTAACTCTTAACTTTTAGTATAGAACTCCTTTAAATACATATGTAGCTTCGGATATTATTGGATGGAGTTATAGAAGAAAAGGAACATAATTGGTTTTTGCTAAAACTAGAAGAACTTTATTCCTATTCAAAGCCTAGGCAAAGGATGGACAGGATGTGCTACTTCTAGTCAGTATTGTTGATAAAAAGGCGTCAATTGCATCGTCATTGATTGTATGATTGTATCGTATGATTGTATGTAGCTTCGGATATTATTGGGTGGAGTTGTAGAAGAAAAGGAACATACTATAATTGGTTTTTGCTAAAACTAGAGAAACTTTATTCCTATTCAAAGCCTAGGCAAAGGATGGACAGGATGTCAGTATTGTTGATAAAAAGGCGTCAATTGCATCGTCATTGATTGAAGGCCTCTTCGTTTTTTAGAACAAGCTCGCATATACTACTCAGGAATGATTTTTGGGAATGAAATTCGTTTTAACGGTGTCTTCTTCTTTCAAAACCTCTTACAAACTCAGCCACAACATAAGCTTGAACAATCGTGATAAATAGCACGTGAACGTGTTATCCGCTCTTGACCAATTTCAAGCACTTATATTTATAATTCTTTATAGTGTTGTTTGTCGATGAAATAAATAAAGAAATAACCCTCCACAGATCAACGAGTTAAACGAGAACCTGGAGCTGAAGAAACAGGACTTTCTCGCGCTGCGAGAGCGCTCGGATAATGCGTTGTTGCAGACACGCATGCATTTGGATCGCGCTGATCGGGAATATCAGAATGCCATGTGCCGCGAGGAGGATCGTCGGGTGGAGCTGGAGGAGAAGCTGAAGAAGGAGTTTGAACTCGAGAAGCAGGAAATGGAGGAGAAGTTCCGGGAGCGTTTGGGCCAAGTGAAGGAGGAATTCGCCAAGGAACTGCTGCTATCCACGCAGGATATGGTGGAGACACATCGCAAAGAGCTGGGTACGCAATGAATTCGTGGAATATTTTTCTTTATCAATTATTACTTAATTATTTGTATGTCTGGGCAGAAACACAAAAAGCCAAACTGCAGGCGGAAAAGGATGAGGCCCTGCAGGAGCTTGTGGAGCGACACCGAGCCAAAATGGCAGCTGCCGAGGAGCGCATCAAGTGAGTGTCGATGTTGGCATGTGTGTAGTGGAGTGTAGCGCCCATGTAGCCTCCAAGCTGTCGTACTAAGCGCATTTTTAGTCGCCCGATGTTAACCTGTAGACATGAAGATATGCTTTGTTGTAGTCCCTGCCCCGCCCGGTCCTGCCCTGTCCTGTCCTGCCCTGCCTCCTGCTGAGCCACCCCTCATCCACTGCTCATGCACTTCTCATACTTTATGTTTTGATAAATTCATCTACTCTTTTCTGTTTCTTGTCTCTCTTTCATATTTGGTTTGATTTATTCAACAGCATTGACTTAGATCGTGCAGCATCATCGCATCTATTCGAAACTGCCTTGTGTGTGCTTGCAAAGGGGGCGTGTCCATATATGCCAACACTTTATGTGCTATATCTGACCATGTCGCCATTGATTGCCTTAGCATGTTTAGTGTTCAATATTCTCGCTGTGCTCTATTTGAAATACCGCCATCTGTTGAGCAAATAAACAAGTTTTAAAGAGTAGTCTTAAGATTGTATTTGTAGACTTACTATATTTTACATAAATATAGCATATATATATGGTTCTCTTTTTTTTGGTATCAATTTCAAATTTCAACGCATTTCTTTCACAAAAATAACCCCCGAAAGTATTGCCTGCTTGTCCAAAGCCGTACACTCTAGAAACTTAACCATTGTATAAACATATCTTTTACTTTCTCTTTTTTGCTATAAACCCGACCCACTCCTTCTGCTCTTTATGCTTGTGTATTGTATCCCCATCAACCAACCAACCAACCAATCACAGCGATATAGAGCTTCGGCATCAGCGTAATCTCAAGGATCTGAAGGCTGCCTATGATGCTGAGAAAGCGGCGCTGGACAAACGCGATATCAGCAATGCGAACGAGATCGAGCAACTGCATCGCCGATGTCGCTGTCTAACCAATTTGTAAGTTCAATTCTCTCTCTCTATCTCTCTCTCTCTTTCCATTACTTTTGCTCTATCGTTGTAGCTTAGCCTTGTCGTCATTGTTGTGTGCCCCATGGCTAAGCCAAATAGCTCAGTATCGGCTAATGCTGCCTTATATTGCCTTTACAGATTTGAGGAGATGCGAATGCGCTACGAGCGTCGAGAGCCCCGTCCCGAGGATCTGCGCGAGATCGAAGAGCTGCGCACGCGCTGCGAGACCCAAGAGCGCGATCTCTATGTCCTCACCGATCGCCTGAGGGAGATGCAGCTTCAAATGACCGAGTTGCAACAGAACGGCAACAACGATGGTCAGCAGCGAAAAATTGCGGGCAAGACTATCAAGAAGCCGCCACCCAAGACGATACCCACCAGCTGTGACGTCATCTACGAGGAAAACGAGGAGCGCGAGTCGCCCGAAAACGAAACAGTTGCTGATCAATACGACGAGGACGAGGAGGAGGCCGATGAGGATGAGAATGGGGATGGGGATGTGGATGCGGATGCGGATGAGGAGGAGGTCGAGGATGAAGAGCGGGAGCCCAGCGACACAGAGTCGAATCACACAATCGAAATAAGTGGCAAACTTGCCGATTGCATCAACGAGGATGATGTCCATATGGTATCGGCTGTTTAAGCCGCTTTACTAGACAAATTGAACGTAAAATCGTGGCTGTTTTCTTCTTATCCTTTTTTTTAATGAAAGTTTTGAAATACAAGTACTCGCACTATTTTCTAAGCACGGCGGGCAAAGCCTTGCAGGCCTCTGCTTCCAGCAGCTGATTAAACACAAATTCTTTGAATTCATGACGCGGCTTGTTGTTATTGCCTGGAAAGTTTTTGAAAGATGCAGAAATCAAGCTAAATAATACCAATAAAAATTGTAAAATCTCTCAATTGGTTTATGAAACCACCACACAAGGAACGAATAAATGTAAATATTTGTAATTAAAATGTGTTTTAATTTATTAATGTATAACACAATTGAAACGGGGTTCTAGGACGTTAAAAAACTTTCTCTAGTATCTATACTTGTATATTCAAGTATATAGTGTTGTCTATATATACTATTTCATAAAATCAATTGCTTTGATACAGTTATGAGTTTTCTGATTTGCGAAATAAGCCAAATATCTAATTAAATATCTTCCCCTTTAAACAATTAATTTTGAATTTCGTTTCCACCACACTTCGTATCACAAATTCCATTCTCTGCACGTGTCTCGTACAACGAGAGAGCACACCAAACACACCTTTTGGTGAATTATATCGGAAAACGCTAAAGACTTGATGCTAAATGTGTTGAAATTGCCTGTTCGGCCAGGGGAGAGTGGTGAATTGTAGTGGTGTTATTAAGAGTGGTAAAGAGAGCGGTCAGTCGTTGAAACGATTCAATAAGGGGAATGGAAGGTGAATTAGTTTACAATTTTAATCGTAATTCAAAAACGTTACCGTTGTCATGAGTTTTCAAATATAAAAATAAAAAAATATAAAAATGTTTTTATGGCATTCATTTTGGTGCTTTATAAAAAGAATTTGCTAGAATTTTTCTTTTATTTAGAATATTTTAATCGACATATTCTGAACGTGCAGTGGAAATATTTTTTTTTTTTAATGTAAACACCGAACTTTTAAAATTGTAAAGGAATTTAAATGCTGTATATTTAAGCATTTGGAATATACTTCTTCATGCAACACGCAATAACAACAAACTTTCCCCTCCAACAGCTGACTGTGCGCTCAATTGTTGTGCGCAAGTAGGGGAAATGACAGGAGAGAGAGAGAGCAGAGTCGTGGCGAGCTGTCGCTCTAACTGCAAGATTCAATTCGCTCTCGCTTCAGTTCGAATTCGACGCTCGATGTGTAAAGAACGTGTTGCTGCGCGCGGATGTGTCGGCAAAAGTGTACGGTTTAAAAGGCAAGAACAAGCAGATGCAAGCCAAAGGAGCGGAGCAGCAGCATCCGAAAGACAATTGAAAAATTGAACTTCATGTGCGCCTGCCGCCGCTGTCGACTGCACATTAAGGAAAATCGTGATAGCAGACGCATTTTGTAAATTTGTTAATTTTGTTGTTGTTGCCGATTTCAGTATTTTATGCCGTATTTGTGCCGCCGCGTCTTCGTTAACTTCGTGTGTGTTCCGATCTTGTGCTGCCCTGCCTGCCAACAGTAACAACCACAGCAACATAAAATTGCTGCAATTATGTGAAGCAGCAGCAGCAACAGCAGCCTCAGCATGGACGTTTTGAATAAAAGGTACAAAGAGAAGAGCAAAAGAAGATCAGCTACAACGAGCAGCATCGCTGCCAACTGCAATTAATAATAATAATAATAACAACAACAACCACAAGAGTAACGACAAGCAACCAGCGCGGTGGCAACAGTCTTTTGCATAAATAAGTAATAAACAAACAACTACTATTTTGTAATTGTTCAGCAGTCTGTCTAGTCTGCCGGTCGTGCAAAGGTCGTTGGTGTTAAGGTCATGGCGTGTATTTCCGTGCAAGTGCAAGAGAAAAAGTGACAAAAAATATATTAACAGCAAACATACTTGTACAGTAGCAACGACTATTGATCGCGCAACTCTAACGGTAAATCGAGCACGTGTGCCTGTGTCTTTAATTTCGTTTTTGTTTGTAATTTTTGTTCGTTTTAATTGCGAGCCAAACCAACCAACAACAAAACCAGCACTAAAACAGCAGCAGCAACGACAGTTATAAAGTCTTGAAGCAGCAGCCAGCAAGCAGTTCAGCTCCACGCCTAAATGGTAAGTTCTGTCTTTTTTATATTTGTTGTTATTGTTGTGTGCTATTGCCTTCCACGTTGTGTTGTTATTGTAAAAGATTTGCTGCCGCCTTGTTTTGTTTTCAACTGCTCTGCTGGCTCTACGCCCACCTTCTAATGCCTCTCAGTGCTGTCGCAGCTCGACTCTCTCTTTAGCCGTTGCCTCCACCGAAGCAGCAGCGCATTTAAGGATATTCCTAATCCGTTTTATTGATTGCAGGCACACAGCTGGAGTGCTCTGCCCTCTCTACGTGAGTATGTGTGTAAATCTGGTGTTTGCGTGTATATGTGTGTTTAAGTGTTTAAGAGTGTGTGTGTGTGTGTGTGTGTATGTGTGTAGTGCGGCAATCTGTGCGCTGAGCCGCGTTTCTGTTTTTCTTTTTTTATTATTTTTTTCTACTTCTCTTTCTCATCCTGCTGGGGTTGAGCGTGTGTGTGTGTATGTGTGTGTGTTGTAATAAATGTGCCTGCTGTTTTGGTCTCTGCTCTGACTTTTCCTACCGTTTTCCTGCGTTTTCCCATTGCCTGTTTTTTATTGTGCTTATCAGCTGCCCCGCGTGGGCGGATTTGCTGACAATTGTAGTTGCTTGTTTTTGTCCTTCTCTCCTTATTCGCCTGCTCTTCTTGCTGCTGCCTCTGCTGCTGCTGCCTCTGCTGCTTAGCCGGCCTTAATTGCAAATTGCGTGTTGCCATACAATTGTTATGGACCACATTTGGCGGCCGTGCTTTTACATCGCCTACTTTATTGTTGTTGTTGCCGTTGTTGTTGCTTTTTAGTGGCGCTCTGTGATTTTTATTGAGAAACCATAAATAAACGTTCAATGTAATTGAAAACTTTGCCGGCAGCTTAAAGGCAAGTGAGTTCAAGCTCGAAGCACACATAAACACACAACTTGAGGCAAGTTCGTTCGAATTGTTAAATCTTAAGTGCATGATTTGTGCGATTCATTATATTTATTATTTCTAACAATCGTTTCCTATCCAAATGCTTTTGGGAAACAAGACTATTCTATTGATCCATAGATGTGTACTGCTATCTTCTAAATGTGTTGTATGTTAATCTACGGTCTGACAGGCGAATAATTTGCTCGCAAATCTTTCGGAAATCATGAAAATTATGTTATTTTAATTAAAATTTCGTGTGCGATTTGCTTTTCAAAGCTTGCGAGTACTTGTATGCAAATCATTTATATAACAGCCTTTGCTTACCTCTCTTTAGCTTTTTTTATATTGAACTTCATCCATTTACTATACAATAAATAAATAAATTGAAACCGTGCAATATTTCAGTCAAGTAAATCTTAATAAATTATTTTAGAGAACTGATTTCGTTTATTTTGAATTTTAAAGCTGGCAGTTATGTGTTTTTCCAGACATTTGTTTCTGATATTTTTATAAAGAACTGCAGCTCAATAGAAAAATATTTTCAACTATATTTGCATTCTACTTTTCTGCAAATCAACAATTCATCAAAAATCTAAATATCTTACCTTACTTTTAATATTTCTTGAAGGTCAAATAATTCAGATGATTTTCAAAAGAATTTGATTAAATTCTATGACATGAGAATACATAAATTGTAAAGTTTCTAATTGTAACAAGATTGATGTGAAAACTTCATAAAGATTTTTAAATTAAGAAATACGAAAATTTTATGAATATACGAAAACAATGCTAAGTATTTTGAATAAAAATATAGATGTAAGAAAGAAACATCTTTATCTTCCATTGATTTGTTTAAGATGTTTATGATGATCTTGATCGTCTTAGATGCGGTTCGTCTTCAAGTCTATCTCAACCCTTTTTGAACATTTTATGCTACTCTTAAAGTTGTGATCGAAATCGTACTGCATCATTCATAGCCTTTCGCATGCAAAAATTCCATTTGTTGGATAATTTCAAACATTATAAAAATTGGAAAAATAACTTTAAAATTTGTATAAAATTGAATGAAAATTTGGCAGAAACAATGCTGCCAATTTAAATATAAAAAGAGTTGTCGCTCGATTTAATTTTAAATTCAGGATAATATTTTCCAAGCAACATAAGAGTCGCTGGATATATGCATTTGGTACATATGTATGTACATACACACAAATTTATGATAAAGTTAAGCTTTTGCAGATTTGTCAACAATTTTCTAGCGCTCCTATTGAAATTACAAACTACTATACATGCTTTATTTTCTAATCTTTAAGTGCGAGAGTGGAAACATTCTCCATAACTTTATTTTCAAATTGTTTATGCTAATTATTTTTCGTTTGATACAAAAAATAAACTAAAAAGGGGGCTTGCACTTATTCCTTTAACCGTTGTTCAAAGGCGTTTGGTTCCTGTCCAAAACGGAAAGGGGGAATTAAAAAAAATTAAAAATAACTTCATCAAACAATTAAGATAAAAATGCCACGCACTTGCCCAAGGCATAACTTAATAATCATGGCAAATGTCTTACTAGTCGGTCCAGTCGGTCCAGTGGCAGCATCGGCCGCAGAAGTCGCAACACCTTTGGAGAGGTGTGTCTGCCACAGCAACAGCAACAACAACAGCAACTAATGCCGGCTGCTGCTGTTGGTGCTGCTGTTGCATGCTGCAAGTGGCAAGTGGCAGACACAGCTGCGCGCCATTTAAGTCGCTGACAAGTGTTTTGCCGGCATTTGTGGAATGCGCTGGCCAGGAATCCAGAAATCAGGAACGGGCTGCGTACCACAAAAAAGAACGGCGGCGGCAGCAGCAGCAGCAGCCAGACATTGCTACCAATTATGCGATAAGCAGACGGGGCGCACTTTAAACTTGGCCATTGCAACAAAAACAATAAAGCAACAGCAATGAGAACAACAACAGCAACAATCAAATTTATGCCAACGGCAAACTTAAAGCATGAAAAGTAAATAAACGAGCATAAAAATGCGAGCAGAAAACGCGCAATAAATAAAAATACAATAACAGCAGCAACAACAACAACAACAACAACAAGAAAAGCAACGAAACTAAAAAAAATAAGTTCAGGAAAAACTAACAAAGGATGCGGACGCGGACGCGGATGCGCGCTCATCAAACGAAACGAAAAGCGTGCAGGCGCGGCAACAACAACAGCAACAGGAACAACAACAGAGGAATGACCTTATATTGCAATTGTGCAATACAAACAAAGGGCCCGCTAATGT